AGTCCTTGGGGATATAAGGACAGGAAGTATCTAACTGTATGAGAGGTTGTAGGCTTAGAGGGGGTCACAGCCCTAAAGCATGTGTGGTAGTTTATGTTAAGCCCATTTCTCACAGTTTGTGTCTGTCCATCTGTGGACAAGGGACGAGGATGGGTTTTCAGGCCACCATACAGAGGTTTCATTACTAAAAGACATAGGAAGCCACTTGTTGAGAACCCAGCAGGTTGTTAAATATTTTCCCAGAGTTCTGATATACGTTTAATAACCATAAATAGCAGTGGAAGTAGGGAGGTATTTTCCTTATTTTACAAATAAAGAATTGAAGTTTACCTAAGATGTTAAAGTTCAGTAACCAGGATGTGTCAAACTCGAGCTCTCTTTCCTAGGGAGCCCTGGTTTTTCTACCAGGATGACACTCAGAGTCTACAGTACCCAGTAGGCAGTGAGCAAGCTGGGGTCATCTTTTCTCTATTTGAGGTGACTCAAGAATTTTTTAAAACATCTTTAGAAGCCTATTTCTTTGAGCTTTGCCTTTGTAGAGTGAAATGTTGACAGGTTCATGGCATGGGCTTCCAGGGTTACGTCCTCCTCCTTGGGCTATGACCGCATAACTGGGCACTGCCAGATCAATTGCCAAACAGTTTTGGGTGTGGAGGTGTAGGCCTGTCAAACTTGGGGCCACCGACTAGCCCATGGGGCCAGACACATTCTAACATGGAGGGTTTAAGCCCGTTAGTTCCCTGGCACGGTTTGTACCCTTGAACACAGTAGGTCTTGATGCATTCTTTCTTTATTATTATACGTTTTTAAATAGACCCAGGATGTACAAAAGGCAATGGATGAAAGGAGATTTAAAGATGCTGTACAGCTCCGAGGCAGGTGAGTTATCATGAACAAACTCATAAATAATTCCTATCTACTTGTTAGGAATTTAGTTTGCTGGTCCTGGTCACTGAGATGGGGCATGGAGCTTGTTGTTTATTCTATCTTAAAACAAAAAATTTTAAAAGTTAGAGAATATACAGGCACTGATATTTTATTTATTTGTTTGTTTGTTTTTATTTTACATGTGTGGGTATTTTGCCTGCGTGTATATCACTGCGCCGTGTGCATGCAATGCCCACAGAGGCCAGAGGAGAACATCAGATCCCCCGAAACAGTTGTTAGCCCAATGTGGGTGCTGGGAATCAAACCCATATCCTCTGCAGATGAAGCCAGTGCTCTTAACCACTGAGCCATGGCTCAGAATATTGCTTTTTGGTTTTTGTTTTGTTTTTTTTCTGAAAAAATCACAATCTACTTGACTAGTTAGAAATCTTTTTTTTTTTCTGTTTGCCATTTGACAGGTACAAGGTTATACTCAGGCAGCTGGGCATTTGCTCCCAGATGGGGTTCCTTCTCTTGTCCACGTTCTCAACTTTGACCTAATCACATCGTTTTTTTTTTTTGTTTTTTTTTTTTTCTTTAGGAGCTTTGAGGGAAACCTCAAGACCTACAAGCGACTTGCCATCAAGATGCCTGATGACAAGATCACCAAGGTAGGTGGCCAGCTTCAAAGGATCCCCACCCCCCCGAGTGGCCTGGGTTCCCTTTGTTCCCAGCTCAAGTGTGGATCTCCAGAAACTTGCCCTGACCTTTCCACTGTGTCCTTTAACCTAATGTGGAACAGCACAGTCACCTCTTGTCAGATGTGGTACCTCACAATGTGGCCCCTTTATGAGTGTGCAGCCAGTAGGAACTCAAGCATGCCTGCTGACCCAGGACTGCCTTCTCCTGTTTCTCAGAGCAATTGCAACGTGGCTGTTATCAATGTGGGGGCACCAGCAGCTGGAATGAATGCAGCCGTCCGCTCCGCAGTGCGAGTGGGGATCGCAGACGGCCACAAGATGTTAGCGGTGTACGATGGCTTCGATGGCTTCGCCAAAGGCCAGGTGAGTCTCCCAGGAGGCCCAAGGGAAGGGAGTGGGGATGTTATTGCAGGCTCGACCACCCCACCTTCAAGTTGAGGATTCCGTGGCACTGTGAGTATACCAATTGCTCATTTGAGGATTAATGTCTGCTTTGGAATCCTGCTCTAAATTAGAGTCTAAGCCATCACATAAAGCTCAGGGTGTCATGTATTTTCAGTTTTTCTCAAAAGGCACTATGGTATGGTGGTATGATGATGGCTCTTGTCAGGTTTAGATGGAACGCTAAAGGCAAATTTAATTATAGGCTGGGGGTGTAGCTCAGTAATAGAACATGTGCTTAGCACCTAGCAAGTGTAAGGCTCTGGGTTTAATCTCCAGCACTGGAAAAAAAAAAAAAAGATAGTCAGCAAGTAAACAAGAAAATGACACCTGGAGTTTTTACCGTGTTCTCCTGTTGCATGTGATTTGCATACACTTTGACCCTATGCTAAATCTAGACTTAGATTTTTCCATTTGAGGAGACCAAGTCAGAAACATTTGCTAACTTGCCCCAGTTTACATGATGTAGGGCTTGAAGCAGTTTGGTGAGGCTGCAGGCTCTACCCTGAACCCATTGCTGCTGCACTGGTGGGTATAAATTTAGTCAGCACTTTGCTAACTTGTGGGTATGAATTTAGTTAGACATTACTTTGCTAACTTCTTTTTTGGTCTTTTTGAAACAGGGTCTCCCTGTAGCCCCAACTGGCCTGGAACTTACTATGTAGACCAGGCTGGCCTTGAACTCACAGAGATCCACCTGCCTCTGCCTCCCAAGTGCTGGGACTACAGGCGTGCCACCATACCCGGCTAACAATGCTTTGCTAACTTCTTAACACCATGGAGATACACAAGTAAGCAAAACAGACAAAATATCCTTCCTCTGAAGAGTTTCCATTTTGGAGAGGGAGATGACAGGACAGACCTAGTAAACCATCTAGTTTATAACTAGCTGAACAGCGCTGGGAAGACAGCCAGGAGGAGGAACGCAGTCCTGAGGAGGTCTCTATGAGGACTGGCAGCAGCTGCTCACGGGCCATTAGATCAGCTGATCTCAGATTAATGGGCAAGTGGCTCCTGTGGACGTGGCTCAGCCCAGGCAGAGCAAAAGAAGGCAGAAGACCCTGAGGTGGGGTGGAAGCATGTTTCAGGCTGATGAGGAATGAGAGTAAGAAAGAAGAAGGCAAGGACCGCAAGACCCAGGTCGTCTGTAGCCAGTCTTAGGAGTTTGACTTTTGGGCAAAATGAAAATGTCTTGAGCAGGGGATGGCACATGCTGATGCGTTTTCACAGGTGCTCTCTGGTGTCCATCAGAGGCAGAGGCAGGAAGCAGGAAGTAGGCACACTAGATGAGGTTTTACAATCATCTCAGAGAGCGGTGTCAGGCTATCTGGTGGCTGGCAACAACAAGAAGTCTTCAGGGGTCTGGTTGCATTTTGAAGACAATCACGTTAAGATTTTCTCACTGCATATATACAGGTAGGAGAAAGGTAGACATATTTTCGAATGCCTGGCCAATGCCTATGAATCATAATTCACAGTGAAGAGGATGCTATCCTGTGCTAGTTCCTCACTAGGGAAAGCAAGCTTTGGAGATGCCAATTTGAAGGTGTCTGTCACGTCTGAAGGAATATGTCCAGTTTGCCTAGATACTGTGGATGCCTTTACGAGATATGTCCTAAAGATGTGAATCTGTGCCTCTTCATTCAGTGGTTAGAACCATGGAATTCAAATTTCCTCCAGGTACTAAACAAGTGAGAGAGAAAGGACCAAGGTCAGAGCCCCTGGGGTTTTGCTGCTAAGAGTAACACTGGAACAGGACACTGAACAGGAGACCAGGAAACAGAGGGGTGCCAGGGACGGGGTAGAGTCACCTAACTGACAGCCGGGAACACCTGGCATTTCACGTTGGCCAACAAGGTCCAGCACTGGGTAATACTCGGGTCCCTGTCTGCTCATTCTCAGTGACCAAAGGAGGAGGGGGGAGCAACAGCTCTTCCAACCTGAAGAAATCTTGCTGTTGCTTTTCCTCAGGCGATGGGAGATTAACTGGTCTTAAACTTTATGTAAATGAATACGGCCATTAGAACTGATTTACATGATGACTGTTGTGATTTACATGATGACTGTTCATCCATGGATTCCTTCACTTTATCCCCCACCCCACCGTCAAACACACACACACACACACACACGGACTTGGATAATCGCCATTTGAAACGAGTGGATGGTCCCATTTCAAATATAACTTACCCACAGACCTCACCAGAATACATTAATGATAGTAGGTTCACCAAGGTAGCTGACAAACCCAGGATCACATGACCAGAAGCTAACAGACATGAAGTTCTGACCCAGTGTGTTCTATGACTCATGCCTCATCTACATGGGATCCTCTTTAGAGGATTAAGCTCAATCACTTAGCCCGTCTTCTGTTTGCCTTTCTCTGATGATCTATTCTCTTCTTTGCTTTTGTGTTTAGTAACATCAATTTATTTATTTATTTTATTATTATTATTATTATTATTATTATTATTATTATTTTGTCTCT